TGACTTGAATGCTATCATTTCAATGTGATAGTTTTCAAAGTCAAATGGCAGCATTGAACTTTTTAAAGATTTTAAGTCAGCATCTCGGGCTACAAAACAACCATGGCATATGTTGGAAACGTAGCCTTGGAGTGAGAGTCTAAGCGGAATTCCTGTGCATTCAGCAGCTCAGCCCTGACTTCAGAGGCTCAATCCTGACTTCAGAGGCTCAACCCTGACTTCAGAGGCTCAATCATGACTTCAGAGGCTCAATCCTGACTTCAGAGGCTCAACCCTGACTTCAGAGGCTCAATCCTGACTTCAGAGGCTCAATCCTGACTTCAAAGGCTCAATCCTGACTTCAGAGGCTCAATCCCGCCTTATTCAATGTCTGTGTACACATTTTGGGATTGAGATATTCAGACTAATCTAATAGGTACGCCGAGATAAGCCTGATTGAGATATTCATATTCATGTGATAGGTCCGCTAAGATAAGCCTGATTGAGATATTCAGACTAATCTGATAGGTACGTCAAGATATGCCTGATTAAGACATTTAGACTAATCGGATAAGTACGCCAAGATAAGCCTGATTGAGATATTCGGACTTATCACTGCCTGAAATTCTTTTATGAAAAGAAACCCAATTTAATCTCATTAATTTTCGACATCGATAACATTATTTTTATAGGCCTAGCCAGTGATGATGACTGTGTACAAGGCGTTTATCTGAAGGTGAAATTAGTAAAATAAAGTTTGCGCAAATCTAAAAAAGGGAACGCAACAAAACAACGAACGTGTCGGCAGGAAGACTTCGTCAGCTATCAAACAGAAAAAAAAAAAAGAATTAAATTTGTAAAAAGCACTTAGCTGAAAAGTAGTATTATGCTTGCCCACTGGCAAAATCTTCGGACTGCTAACTGACCCACTTGTCGCCAATCTACCTAGCTGAAACTTGATCCACTTTCTCGTTGCCCCTGACAGGGCCGGCGCTAGAGGATGGCGAAGTGGGCGGTTCCGGCGACAATGGATGAGTAGGATAAACACGGTTGTCTTTGACAATATGCTAATCTTGAAAGAATAGGATTGACAAAATACATCAAAATGTAGGCCCGTCATTAAACCCATTGAATTCTTATATTTAAAAAAGCCGGTGATTCGTCGACTAAAAATTAAATGAGATCTATTCACGCCTATAAATAAGCAGGTTATATTCTGGGCTCTCCAGTGGGGTCTAGGCCTGTGTAGTCGACCTGTGTGGTACAGGGGTAGGGGGAACCCCAGTGGCGTAGCGAGGGTGTTTGGCGCCCGGGGACAAGATTCGCGCCCGGGGACAAGATCCATTTTTAGCGCCCCTTTTTCTTTTTTTTCAACTCTCGAACCCATTATTTTCATCAATAAAATAATATCAAAGCACATTTTGGCGCCCCTAACTAGCTGGCGCCCGGGGACATCTGTCCCCCCCCTGCCCCCACCACGCTACTCCTCTGGAGAACCCACAGAACGAAGCCTGAACTGGTCTGGACTCTCCACAATATTAACGGTGTGGCTAAATGATGTTTGAGAGATATTAATTTAATCCAGGTTTTATTTTAACCTTTCTGCAGCGCCGCACCCCATCTCGATGTAGAAACATTTATTGTCCCCTCCCACTTTTTTCCAGATAATATAAAACAAGGTTAGTTAGATAAAAACATTTATAGAAGTCTCTTCTCATATAATTGCAATACATAAAATAAACGAAATAATATCCAAACTCATAATGATCCGATGGGATCGCGTTACCGATGGATTCCAGTCTGCTGTTGGATCTCGTTTCCCATTAGGATCTTATTCCTCAATGGGATCATGCTCAGTGCGATTTTGTTCGAATGGGCTTTTTGATCCCGTTATATATCCCCGTAGAACAATCTAGAGCCTTCTGGAACATTCTAGATTAAATTTAATATCCTCCATGAAACCTGTACAAAATTACTTTTCTACGTAATTTACGTAATTATTTTTTAAATACGAAAAACTATACAACTAAAATGCACTACTATAACTATGGTACATTTAAATTAAAAATAGGGGCCCCGGTGGGGGCCCATTGATCAAGTACCGTTTTAGTTATGTCTGAGATAGGGGGCCCTATAAAAATCCTTCAGATAACTTATGGAGTTAAAATTTAAATTTGTATCATTAAAATTGGCTTAAAAAGTGCCATAGATATGGCTTTTTTAAATTATTGAACTTTCTTGAAAATTCTAGATCGGCCCAGAATAGATTGGACATTATTAATTTTAAATCCACCAATTATTTAAGTACGGACTAAGAAGGGTATTGCTACAAAGCTTGGCCTAGATCAAGGGTCTCCAAACTAAAGCCCGCGGGTCGGATCCGGCCCGCGAGGCCAGCTCATCCGGCCCGCCGACGGTACTTGAATTTGCTTGATAAAACGTATGTCTACCCACAGAGAAGGAAAACCTGTTGAATTTTATCGCTGCTAAACTAATTTTGAGTTTCTGAACGTGAAGAACTTTGCCGCTTGTATGGGATCAGTGTTTGGAACAACTTATGTCTGTGATCAAACATTTTCAAAAATGAAGTATGCTAAGTCAACACATCGAAGTGACTGATAAACATTTGAAAACAATTCTCTTGATTGGATGCAGCAATTCAAATCCAAACATTGATGCTATCTTGAAAGCCAAACGCCAGTTTCATAATTCTCACTAACTTTTTTGTTCCTTAGTTTGTGATATTCGAATTTGTGCGCACTAGGTCTGATGTAACTATCTGTTTGCTAACGTCACCTTCTTTGATAACTTTTTTTAGAAAACATATATGTTGGTTGTCTTTGTTGTTGTTATTATTATTGTTTTGTTTTTTTGTACATTGCTCGCCACTCACCCATGATTAACACGGAATACTAAACTTAGGTTTTCGCCCTTTTCTCCCAGAGCTTTCGTTCTGGCTTGAACGTATTGTACAGAATGATTATCCGGCCCACGCTCGTCATTTTTTAACGATATCCGGCAATTTTGGAGACCCCGAGCATAGATCCATCAATTCACATAGAACCTATAGCGTTGTCTAAGCCTGGTGATATTTATATAGCTTATATTTATAAGGAATTTTTGCAAAGTTTGTTCAAGATCCATCGATCAATGTAAAAGCCTTTGTGGAACTAGCCCACAAATACACACATTTTCACTTATATATTTATAAAACATATATGATATGATATATGACAAATATAATCAGCTATCATTTGATACATTTTAGTAGACTGCTTAATTCTGCTTGTTCAGATTTTTTTTCCAGGTTTGTTGTTTTTTCCTTATAAAATCTCTGCGTTTTCCCGCACTCCCTTGCACGTCCTCCCGCAACACATGTGGTGCGGGCACACTTGGCTATTTAAACTGCGATTTAATTAATAACGCGTCGTGTTGTAGCGGCCTTTGCAGAGGCGTAGCAGCTACTTAGGGGTGCCGAAATGTGCTTTGATATTATTTTATTGATGAAATAATGGGTTTGAGAGTAGAAAAAAAAGAAAAGGCGGCGCTTTAAAATGTATCTTGTCCCTGGGCGCGAATTTTGTCCCCGGGCGCCAAACACTCTTGCTCCGCCTCTGGGCCCTTGGCACGCCCAAACTGTCCATATGCGCGTGGTTGGTGGTATTAATTTGAGATCACTTCTTTACACCGAGCTGCTTCCAGCAAGTTTCGAATAAGGATTGATACATTATTGATTTTATTGATTGAGTAACCAGGTACCTGCTGACGTCATGCCATCATCTCTAAGGTGACTACTGGGACTTTTATTGTCAGCAGCATCTAGAGCCTGGCCACTTTGAACTCAGCTACCAGAAGCGCCAAAGACTGAAGTACACGAAAGTAAGTTACTTTGACGTAAAGATATTAGTTAGTTTAATCGATGCAATCATTTGGAAGTAATTAATATTTTGTGGACTTTTTCGTTATCGCTATAATATATAATTTTATTTAACTAGAGTCTATACCTATAATCGGATTTTTGAAAATGAAGATATTAAATATATTTTTAGTCCTGTCTAGGCTTATAACTTTTTCTTCCGGCCTACGTGGCGTAACATTAACATGTCGTCAACTTTTCTTGTTCAAAAGCTCGCTCGATGGTAAGGGCTAAATTATGCTGGCTGGAGATTTGTCGCGATTTCATTTTCGTAAAAATTAATGTTTCTTATCTTAGATAGCCTCGTAACAGTGGCGTAGCTATGTTTAGTGCCTCCCGGGGCGAGACAAGATTTTTTTTCGCCCCCTTACACGAAAAATCTCTATTAGGCCAAAAATGTCCCACCACTATTTAAAGAAAAAAAGTTCAGCCCGGGTCGGACCGCCCCCCTCCACACCACACTTTCTATGCCTGTGCCTCGAACCCATAGTTAACTTCAGAACTTGGTTGACATCAATCATCAATCTAATTCCATATTTGAGTCTTTTCTATGAGGTCTGGCTAAGTGTTCAGCCTGCAACCTATGACCCTGTTTAATCTATGGTCCATAGTTTTGGCAATTACCCCGGTTTCACCCTCCTTAATTAAGTTATTAAGTTTTATTCAAGACGTTACAAGTCTCAGTTTCAACCTTTAGAATTATGCAAATTCTTTCTGGATTATTCAAGGTCTACTTATTATTTAATAGCAATGTTGAATGCATAGCCCATAGAACGAAATATTGAAAATTCAATATTTAAGTTTCCATTTAAATTAATAAAGTTTTATTTGCATATATGAAAATACCCATTTATTCAAAATTCTCATAATTATCATTTTCGTTTATTTTGTGTTTGCATTTGGTCTGAGATACCAGATTGGTTATCTCATCTTTAGATCAAAATCATTTTTAATGAATAATATAGACTTTTATTTTATTTAAAAATTTAATTAATTAATAATAATAATACAAAATTTAACATGACTATTATTAAATGAAAAGGTTTTATAGCAAAACTATGGAATCATAAATAGCAATTATTTGTTTTAAACTAGATATCGGACCACACAACTGGCATTTGAACTACTTATTGTTAGATGTTATTAGGAGTAGAAGTAAAGTGCTAGAAGTTAATATACTCTGGTTTCTCTTCACGATTAAATCTTACGCTATAAGTTAACAAAAGTTATACTCATCAGAATTTTTTTTTAAGGCTATCTTCACATTGTATTTTTTAAAAAAAGCTTGAAAATTTATTTAAGTCATAAAGGGATGTGGAAGCATCATTCCATTTAATTTTAAACTATTGACTGGAACACAACGAAGTAAGTAATATTTTCTCACTCAAGACTTAAGACACTCAAGAGTTTAGATTCACTTCTTAGGTAGGAGGACACATGTTTTTATATGGACCGTGGATAATTTGGCTAATATTAAGGACGGCTGCCACAGCGTCTTTTGAATGTTTATTATAGTTGCAGTGAATCAGGGTTTAGGTTAGGTTGAGTGGTTGAGGGATCGTTTTAGGGTTCAGGTTAGGCATAGGCATGGAGTCATGGAGATCTAGGTAGGGTTCAGGTTAGGCATAGGGATCTATGTAGGTTTCAGGTTAGGCATAGGGATCTATGTAGGGTTCAGGTTAGGCATGCGGCATAGGGATCTATGTAGGGTTCAGGTTAGGCATGCGGCATAGGGATCGATTTAGGGATACATTCGTGAAATTCGATAAAATAGTGGCAGTCGTCCTTAAAATTTACCAATAATTTTTATAATTATTTATATTAATATTAGTTAGGCCAGATATAGGCTTTAGGGGCCACGCAAATTTTGCCGATTTTTTACCCCCCCTCACCCCATCGTGACAAATTGTCACAAAATGTTAGACCCGCCCTCAAATATAATGTCACAAATCTCTGCACCCCCCCTATAAAAAGTCCTTGTGTCCACTACCGTCATTTACAAACCCTTAAGAAATTCATCTCCCGTGGATATCAATTTATTGCACCCGTGACAGAAACATTTCACTAGATCAGTGGTTCTTAACCAGGGTTAAAAGTATCTCGCAAGCCTTGAGGTGTGGAAGACCAAAAATTTGTATTCAGTGGCGTAAGTGACTCAGGTTTTCGGTCATTTAATACTAAAAGCAAAAGCGATATTTAACAACAAACTAAGCGACATTTAAGAACAAATTCAGCGATCTTTGAGAACAAACTAAATGATATTTAACAACAAACTAAGCGACATTTAAACAAACTAAACGATCTTTAAAACAAACTAAGCGATCATTAAGAACAATCTAAGCGATCTTTAATAACAAACTAAGCGATTTTTAAGGCCGAACTAAATGATCTTTAAGAACAAAACAAATGATCTTTAATGATTTATAAGAATAAACTAAGCGATCTTTAACAGAAGACTAAATGTTCGTTAGGAACAAACTGAAAGATCTTTAAGAACAAACTAATTGATCTTAAGGAACAAAATCAATTATCTTTAAGAACAAACTAAGCGATCTTTATGAAAAAAAATAAGTGAATTTACAACAAACTAAGCGATCTTTATGAACAAACTAAACGATCTTTAAGAACATATAAAGCTATCATTAACAAAAACTAAACGATCTTTAACAACAAACTAATGCGATCTTTAAGAACAAATAAAGCCATCATTAACAAAAACTAGACGATCTTTAACAACAAACTAATACGATCTTTAAGAACAAACTAAACGATCTTTAACAACAAACCAGGCGATCTTTATGAACAAACTTACCGATCTTTAAGAAAAAAATAAAGAGATCATTAGCAAAAACTGGACAATCTTTAACAACAAACTAAGCGATCTTGTACAACAAACTAAAAGATCTTTAACAAGAAACTAAACGATCTTTAACAACAAACTAAACGATCTTTAACAACAAACTAAACGGTCTTTAACAGCAAACTAAACGGTCTTTAACAACAAACTAAACGATCTTTAACAACAAACTAAGCGATCTTTAAGAACAAACTAAACGGTCTTTAACAACAAACTAAGCGATCTTTAACAACAAACTAAGTGATCTTTAAGAACAAATTAAGCGATCTTTAAGATGAAACTAAGCGATATTTTAGAACAATCTAAGCGATCTTTATGATCAAACTCACCGATCTTTAAGAACAAACTAACCGATCAATAACAACCAACTAAACGATCTTTAAAAACAAATTAAGTGATCTTTTAGAACCATATTTTTTAGAGACCTGGTTTAAAAAAATAATATTTTGCATTAATTTCCCCCCCCCTCCCCAATTTTTGCCAAATTTTCTCCTACCATACCAATTTGAAAAAATTGTAAAGCAATTTAAATTACTTTTATACTAAAATGATAAGATCCAAAGTATTCTTTAGATCAAGGGTCTCAAACTCAAATTATGGGGGGGGGGGCAGGGGTGGAACCACTAGATGCTGGCCTGGTGGCAGCGAGCGCGCGAGAAAGAAATCCAAAAATCAATATCAAGTAATGATTTCAAGGGGTTGAAACTCAATATATTGGGGGGGGGGGGGATGCAGGAGGTAGTGTCTGAATAAGAGTGGGCCGCATCAAATAATCCACAAAAAGCAATTACAACTGTTACAATCTGGTCAACCTTTATAAATAACAATTAAATAATTAAGGGATCTCAAGTACTACTCACTGTTGCCAGAGACCTGGCATACAAAAATATATAGAGTCATTAAAAAAAAAATCAGAATTAGATTAGTCGGTGAGATCGACTGAAACCGTCGCGGAGAGTCACATTATAGATATGAGAATGGGGGAAACGGGCCGGCGCATTTACACTAAACTTTTCTGTCATGTAGCGGGCCGCAAAATATCGTATTGCGGGTCACAAATGGCTCGCTGGCCGCGAGTTTGAGACCCCTAAATTAGATATTTATTTATTAATATTTATACTTTCCCACATCATTTTCGATGTATGCAGAATGTATGCGGGAACGAATTTCAAAATATCTTAATGCTTCGGTTTCGGCCAAAATTCATTTTTAACTTTCGGCTTTTTTTCGGTTTCGGCCGAAAGTCATTTTTAAACTTTCGGCCTTTTTTCGGTTTCGGCTGAAAGTCATTTTAAACTTTCGGCCTATTTTCGGCCTTGGCCGAAATCAGAAAATCACTTTCTGTCGGTCTCTACGTCACATTGCTTGAGGGTGTCCCCCCCGCGTCACACATCGTCACAAAAATCTGACCCCCCCCCCAGGCGCGTGACGTCATTTATGGATGGCCCCTCATTAAAATGTAAAAAAAAAAGTATTTAATTTATTTAACCTAGGCAGTGGTTGGTTAACTTATTAAGCCGAGGCCTAAACTAGTACTAATTAGGCCTACTAATAGTAATAGTATTAGTAGTAATAGTAATTAAATTACTTTCTAAGTTTGGTTTACTTATTGACTGTAACTTACTTATTAGGCATTAGGCCTACTTAACTGCTAAAAACCACACACTTGTTCAGCTTATTAATAGCCTAGTCTTAGAAGTTAACATACTCAGTGAGTGGACAGCATAGATTTATTTTTACTGCAGTAGGCATAAGACTAAATTCTAAAACATAGATAATTTATAAAATCATTATCATCAATCACAATGTCCAATAATATTGACTTCAAATTCAATCATGATTGGCTTAGGCCTGCGCCAATTATTAGGTCAACTTTGAGCTGAAGCTAGTTGCTGTGAGTGAAGATTGATCACATTTACCAGGAATGAACTGTTACTGTTGTCAGTGTTGTGCATAGTACTATGACTATAACTGTATGATTATGATAATTTAATAATACTTATTACATTCCCAAATTCGCATGATGAGGTACATGGATGGCCCCATGTAGTCTATAGCCTATAGTTATAAGCCTAGATATAAGGAGCCAATATTATATTTTAATATTTTTAAGCCTTGTTTGGACAGGGCCTATTGTGGCTATACTTAACTATAGCCTAATAATAAAGCTATTTAGGCTTTTGCTTATAAGTAATATTTACATTAATATTATGGCAATCCTCCGAATTCCATTTACAAATTATTTCGTATGAAAAAAATTGCAATGCATAGTGTGTATTGTTAGAAAACAGCAGAAATGTCAGTCATAGCTTTTGCAAATAACTGTCATGTTACAAACCAGTCAGTCAGTAAATACTAAATATTGTAATTGGGGCATATCATTTGCAAATAGCAGCCAAAAACGTTCTGCTTGTGACTGTTGCACCACTGAAAAGCCCCCAAGTAGCTGGCAAACAGACAGCAACTAGTAATAATAATAATAATTATTATTGGTCTTATATAGCGCGATGCCCCAGCATAGGGCTGGGCTAACCGCGCTGTACATAAAAATATTAGCAAAAGAAACATAATCATGACATTAAAATAAAATACATTTATGAAATAAAGAACAGCGTGTAACCAAAACAACAGAACAAATGTAAATTCACCCACCCCACCCCAGAACTTTTACATGGCAAACCATGGACGGTAGCCAGCAGGATCGTTTATCGGTCAGAGGATGGGGAATCAGTCAGGGTAGTATAGTTTAAAGAGATGTGTTATGAGTGTAGTTTTGAAGGCCTGGGTGGTTGGTATATTGTGGATGTTTCGTGGCAAAGAATTCCATTGTTTGGGGGGCGCAGAAAGAGAAAAAACGTTCACCATATGTTTTAGTGTGTGTCTTGGGAACGGACAGAATACGCATGTCTGCAGAGGAGCGAAGCTGTCGAAGGGGTGAATAGACAGAAAGAAGTTCGGTTAGAAAGAAAGGACAGGAATCCGAGAAAAGGTTGTGACAGAGAACAGACAAACATGTAGTCAATGCTTGCCTGTGTAGGGAGCCAATAAAGAGAGTGGAGTGATGTGATCACGTTTTTTTGCCTTTATAACTAGCCTAGCAGCTGAGTTTTGAACTTTATGCAGTTTTTCTATGCAGTGTTTTGGTGAACCTGACAGAAGAGAGTTGCAATAGTCCAGACGAGAGAGAGCAAGAGCACAGACTAGAGTTTTTGTAGCGCTAACTGTGAGGTAATGGCGGATGGAGCTGATCTGACGAGAAGCAGTGTATGCCGAATGACAAATGTGAGAGATATGTTTATCGAGAGACATGTTGTTAGAGAGAATATAACCAAGATTCCTAGCAGAGGTTGTAAACTGATAGCGGAGTTTACGTTTTGCTTGCATCCTAAGTCCTACAATATTTTATGTGTGAATGTCCTGGTATACTGGATCAACAAAGTCATGCGTGTGCACAATGACCGCATGTGCGTAAATCCCGTTGTTGAGCTTACTGACATTTTGATATAGTCGCCAAGCTTCTATGACGATAGTTGTCCCTGGTAGCACATAACGCTCGAGTGTTTGTGCATCTCGATGGCCAACAACCTCTATCCAACATTTTCCACTACCGCAAACATGAATTTCAAAACAAAATGATGTCAACGACTTTTAAGTAACGAGTAATCATTGGACATAATTTGGTGCCGGACTTCGGAGGATTGCCAATATTATTAATATTAATAATCAGTTTACTGATGAAACTATTGTGATCACCGAGCCACAAAGCACAAATTCTTTTATAAATATTTAGCATTAGGCCGGAGTCTATAACTATTACGTAGTTACAGTTATATAGTTTAGGTAAGCTTAAGGTAAAAAAAAATGAAAATAAATCAGTACGATATCCCTATAATAAATAATATTAAATTCCAGGCCTACCTAAATTGGCCTATGCCTATGATTATCATAAATTATGCACCTGATATTTACTTATTTAGTGTAAGGGCCTAAGCTTTTAGTTATAACACTATTTATACTATACTATAAATATTTGATACTTCATGGTCATAGTCAAGTAGGCCTACTAGTAAATCCAATCCACTTAATTTCTTAAAATGCCAATGTACACTTTGATGTAACCCTGGAACTGATAACATTCAATTACAAACTTATAATCATTTTATGTAAATGTCTTATTTTAGGGTAGGGATCAATAACTGGGCTCTCTCTACTATCACATTATGACTTCTTAACTAACTTCCTTATTAATTTCTTTTTTAACTTAAAAAATGACTTAGAGAGCTTAATTTTAAATGCTTTGTACATAAACTATTGAAAACAAAATACAGATTTTGTACAAATTACTTTATAACTACAGTTTGGCATTCAAGCAGATGCTAAAAGATTAAGAGCCTAAGAAATCAGAGCTTTTACTTTTTAATGTTCCTGCAATCCAATCTTTTTTAGTAAGTAGTTTGTTTGGCAGTGTTTGCTTTCAATAGATGAATTATGCTCTAAGTTAGCCTAATCTTGTTGACGTCTTATATGTTAATAAAAATGTCTGCTAAATGAACTAAACATAATTAAGGCAGAGAGGAAAACATTAAATGAAAAACAGAATATAACAAGCATATATTTCTTTAATAGATTTATAATAGAGGACTTGTGTCATGTCAAATCGGCCAGGAAGTGGGCAGTCCCGTACTGCCTGGGATAACGGATATGGAGATGGTATACGCAATGACCCAGACTTAGGCATGGATAATGAGGTAGGAATATTTATTTTCTACTACAGTTAAATTTGTCTTTTTTATTTTTTACTTCAGTAATTGTTTATTATTCTTTTTTAAAAAAGATGACTTAATGGCTTTTAAAAAAACAACAACTAATTCTTAATGTTTATTTCACTTAAGGTTTATATGGTGGGTCAAACTCGCAGTGCAAAATCCTCCACAAGCCAGATGGTCAACTCAACTGCTGATCTTAAAAAATCTAATGGCAAAGCAGCATTTGGATCTTTTTTGAAGGGAATAAGATGTGCGTTATTTGTTTTTTTCTTAAAGATAATATAATGATGTGTTTCACATTAACACAGTTAACATGTAAATAGTCTACTTGCAAATAAATGCAATATTATTTCATAAATTTATTTGAATTATTTATTTATATAAATATTTATATAAATTTATATAAAACAGCAAGTTAGGAGCCTTACATAAATGATATCACTCAATCTTGTGGGGAGGCTGGGTTACTAATTTTTACGCTGTATTTTGTCTTATTGTGTAACAATTTGTCATGGGGGGGGGGGGGGAAAAAAATTTTCCAAAATAGGGTAACATAATTAATGTATGGTCCCTTGTTGCTTTTTACATCTGTTATTATGAAATAATTTCTTATTGAAAACAAGCAAACCCAAAACTTTTAACTATGGACTAAACTCACTTTAAACAAATATATATCTGCCTTCAAAGAACGTAAACTCATGCAGATAAACATTTTAATTTTGGTAGCTCTTGATATTAGGCCAAATAAATTTGTAACGATAATAAATTAAATATAAAATATTTTTTAATCAGCCCTGTGGGCCACTCGTCAGACTGAGGAGACTAACACTAACCGGGAGCTGTATGTGAAGACAACCCTGAGAGAGCTCATCATTTACATTGTATTTCTTGTTGTGCTTTGTGTCAGTAAGTTAACGGAGATGAGTATTGTTAAACGTTCTTATTAGTTACTAAATCCCATTGAGATAATTTCATGTAGCTTGTTGACTCAGTATTTCATCTTGAACAACTATTTAGTTATCATAATGACATGTAATAATAATAAATTTTCACTGTCTGCAGTTACATTTGGCATGACATCAACAACAATGTATTACTACACAAAGGTAATGAGTGATCTGTTTCTGGAGTCAAATTGGGATGATAGTGATGGAAATTTCCAAAGTGTGGCTAGTGTTGAAGATTTTTGGAAGGTTGGTGACTTAAATTTACCTCTATGTTTGTTACTAATTTTGTTTTAGATTTCAGAGTTTAAATTAATTATTTTTTGAAAATGATTATTTTGATCAGCTTACAATGAAATAGTATCCTACTTCAAGAAATGCTCTGAAAATATTTTCCTATCAAATGATTTTAATACTTATATTGTAATTGGTGTTAACTCTTAAATAATGTTTTTAAAGTTTGCTCAATTTTTTTTCCCTACCACAACTCAAAATTTGTTCTAATCAGAAGTAAAGTTTTGGTTTAAATGTAATTGCAAGAAAATTAAGGAAATGATAGCAAATGAAAGAAACTAAAGACTTATTTCACATTGCAGGTGTAAGAATCCTCACTTAAAATGTACCAGTTTCTAAAGCTGATAAAATTAAAATTGGCTTACAGTAGGCAAAGATTTTTAAAAATAAATTTTCTAACCGCTTAGGATTTATAATTAACAATGGCATTTAAATAAATCGGATGTGTGCATTTGTTTTTATTTACACAGTTTGCAAAAGGTCCTTTGATTGATGGCTTGTACTGGGAAAAAAATTACAACAATGATACCTTACCTGCTGATGAAATGGGATATATTTACTACGAAAATAAGCTACTTGGTGTGCCACGGATTCGTCAGCTCAAGGTTCACAGCAACTCGTGCCAGGTAATTTGAGTTCTAATTATTAAAAACTAAGATGAGAAAATGACCAAAGAGGTCAAGAATGGTATGAAATCTCTATTTTTTTTTTGTTAGTTAAATGACATTTTAAAGAGTTAAACAGGATACTCCACTTTTTGAAATATTGAAGCTTTGACACAGCACATAAAATATTAGTTGATGAGAAGAAGCAGCTACAGATTTTTAAAAATTGTTACGCTCTTCCTTCTTACATTTAAAAACTCCGGCAGTAGGTGCAGATCAGGGTGCCATTTTTCTGGATTTCCGGATTCGTGAATATTTTTGAGCTCAGGATTCACACGTTTTTATTTTCTCTCGCTCCAGATTTGCCAGTTCAGTTTATTCAAATATGGATTCTGTCTGGGTTTTAAAAAAAATTCAATGTGTAAGATGCACGAAAGCCTTTTAAGTAAGATAGTGTTCGCTATAAATTATAAATAGAACTGATACTGCCACCTCTCACTTTTGTTTGAAAGCCTCTACTTCTCGCTTTTGTTTGTAACAGGGTTCCCACGCTAGTTGGGAATTCATTGAATAATTTCACCGTTTGTGAAAACCGGGAAAATGGGTCTTATAGTAAGGAAATTTTCCGGCTAGTCTGGAGTTTTTTTTATTTGTAAAAAATAATAATAAATTTGGATTCCATGAAAATTGACGTTAATTGCAGATGTCATCAATTTTTGCCAAAAATGCTAGTGGTTTCCCCTTAACTGCGCACGCGTTTTGAGCTCTACAAGTTTCGAATCCCATACTACTTCGATAGACCAGAAATATTTCTTTTCTGTTCACATCGCCAATCAAGAGATGTTTGACTGTTTGAAGTGTTTGAGGTAAGTAAAGTGTAAAATTTAGTAAATAATTTTTTTTATCTAGTTTTCAGTTGTTGGGTAACCATTGTTATAACTAGAAAACTACTCGTCCAAGTGCTGTCTACCATGACTAACCTTAGCGTACTTTGTTATGTCCTCTTAGACTTAATAAATTGATTTTTAATTTTTAATTGTTTTACTGTATTTAGGCGAAATGAATTTTTTTTTTTTGAGCTAGGCAGCTTTTAACTTTTTAATGACTTCTTAAGTTCACTTAACATTTAATTATGAAGTACACCTTCTAAATTTAAATAAGGCTAATATGATTAAGTTATTTTTATCCATTCAGCAGTGAGCCTAACATAACTATATAAAGTTAGTCTTTATTTATAGTTATGCACTCCTGTGCTCTAAGTATTAAGTTTTACAGTATTCTACTATTATTCATATTCATAAGCAGAGTGGCGTAGGCAAGGTTTGTTTGTTTGTGTTGGGGGGGGGGGGGGGGTGGGGGGGCCCAAAAATAGGGGGTGGGAGTTAATCAATGATCCGTTCTCCTGCCGAAAATCCTGACTCTGCAGTTTCATGTGCTTGTGCCTATCTTTGTATCTCTTCTGACTCTGTATTACCTTAGTTTAGTACAGATATAATATAGTCTATATGATTTATGCCTTACTATAAATTATAAATGTAATATAATAATATATTTTATTTTGTTTCACTATTCAGGCTCAATAAAATAATGTAATGCCCAACAGTTCCTTTAAAGACTGATGGTCAGGGCAGCAATCATGATTGAACAAGTCATCACTGCTATACTATGCTGTAAATATTGATATCAAGTATTCAAAGGGAAAATGTTTAAAACGTCAATCATCTTATGAGATCAGTTTTATCACCTATGTTAGGTGTCCACTTCTGCAACTTCTCCGTTGCTTCCAATTTGTGTGTCAAACTATGACACTTGGGAGATTTTATAGACACTAAAGTGTGTTTGTGTTGACTCAAAATATCCATTTTCATCACAAAGAAGAGAGCATTAACTCCATATGAGAAAAGATGCTTTCCACTTCTGGTACCTATATGTTCTAAAATGCCCGGATAACAACACATTGCAGAAGTTGACTTATCAAATGAAAAATTGCAATTGCTAGGAAATGTAATAAATATTTACATGTATACACCGTAATTGCTTAATTTTGTTAATTTATGATGTATTTCAATGTTGTTTTTGCTTTGTCAATTTCATGCATGTTTTTATATTGATCAACAAACTCGCCGCGTTGTGTTCACATTTAGGAATTTTGATTTTCATTAAGTTTCAGGGGTTGAAAAATTAGTAAATAAAGTTTCCATAAATTTTTAGAAAGGGATTTCAGGGTTCTGAATTCACGACCATCCTCTTACAAACATTGATGAACAAAAATACCCTAAAAACTCAAACCCACGAACTAACCCCACAATTTGACCTTGCACGAAACCTCTCACGGTCAACAACTTTTCATAACAACCATTCACACTCCCAAATCTAGTTCGTCACAATTGTGTTTTTTAAGTTTTTTTGCCATAAATTATATTTATTTTCAGGTTCATGAGGATTTCCAGAGCTTTATTAGTGAGTGCTATGACTCATATGCACCTAGTATTGAGGACACTCAGCCTTTTGGAAAATATTTGGAAAGAAAAAATGATACAGCGTAAGTTAATGAAAATATATAGCTTAAAACAAGTTATTAGACATTAAATAACTGGTGTTGACAGATCAAAATGTTATTTTGCTGCTTTGTGCCTAAGAAAATGTAATAAGACGAGCAGAATTAGATACAACTTTCTTTGTCAGTTTTTTATTTTAATATATCACCCTTTTGAAACTTATTTCTAAACATTTACTAACTTAATTATTTAACAAGGTATATGGCACTTATTACTTTCAAAATCTCAATATCAAAATTGTAATTTGTTACTCTTAAAATTTCCCTTTTATAAAAATAAAATCTTTTACATATTTCCTTTGAAGTGCCCTCAACAATTTCATTTAGCCACACACCATATCTTTTTGAAGTTATACATTTTCTTAAATGAATGTTTATCATTTATTGTCAGTTATACTATTTGCCTGCAGATGGCGATACTTCACAGAGTCTCAACTTGAGGGATCATCCCACTGGGGCACTCTGAACACCTACAGTGGTGCAGGTTATATACAAGATCTTGCAACAACAAAAGATGAATCGTCGCAGATAGTTGAAGACTTGTTTGACAACTTGTGGATTCGCCGGGGGACCAGGGCAGTTTTTATGGATTTCTCTGTCTACAATGCCAACATTAATCTCTTCTGTATTGTGAGGTAAATATTTCTTTCAACTACCATTTTTAAAACCAAGTGTGATGGATGTCAAGAAAATTTCTTCACATTCACAATTTAGTATTGTGCTTGCTAATAAATCAATGCAGAGCTTTGTTACTATAGCTCCAGATTAAGTAAAATCTTTCTTAAAATGTAAAATCTTAAACAGCATCATGACAGATTCAATGATATTAATTTGCAGATGAAAAATTTATTGAAGAGTATCTCTAATGGAAATTGTTGAATAATTTTAACAGTTTTAAGGAAACAACAAATTTGTCTCAAATGATGAGAAAAGTTCAGGAGAAAGGTTTTTAAAAAAAATGGATGAAAAAAATAATTGGAACAATGCTTCTAATTAGCTTATCAGCTTGAGGGGAAAAAAAAGAAGTCCGAGCAGTTTCCCAAACTTTTAAAGTTTGGTGGACACGTTTCAAAATTGCACCACAGATCAGTGCCATATTTATTAATTATATATTTTTCTTATTTGACTATAAATATTTATATTGTGCGGATGGTCAATGTAAGGCTTGGGAACCAGCTACATAAGGCTGATTTAGAGCATATACTTAAAGTAGCTTACTTGCTTCAATTGCTGTGAAGTAATGGCTTGCACTATTGATTCAGGATTTGCCTCTTCAGCATGAAATAATGAGCTGTCATCCAAAAAAATTTTTTTTCAGGCTATTGGTTGAGTTTCCTGCTACAGGAGGAGCCATACCATCTTGGACTTTCCGCACTGTAAAATTGATTCGTTATGTGACAGTTGGTGATTACTTCATAATGGCATGTGAAATAATATTTTGCTTGTTCATCCTTTATTATATGGTTGAGGAAGTTTTAGAGGTAAGAAATCTATCGCTACAACAGATTTTTTGTATATTTTGAATTTTAAAGTCTAGTCTCTGTAAGCTTAAGAAATTTAAAACTTTCACCTACAGCCAAATATTTAGTCCAATAATTTTTAATCCAGTGCCTGTGGTTGACATTTAGGAAATTTAATGCGAACAACCTAAATGTAACAAAAAACCTAATTATATCTAAATGTATAAAAATAAGTATTGTGATCATTTACCAATCGGAATCTCTACATTTAATCTCAAATTTTGATGTGCAGCAACAAAAACTCACTGGCTGTAAGTTTTGATGCATTGATGACTCTATTTGGAAGACCTATTTTATTTTAAAACCTATGTTCAATTAAACTTTTGGAGAGTATTTCATCTAAAAATACATTTGTCTTTACAAAGGGTGCCTGTTGGTTGTTATTAATGTTGCATAAATTTTAAAAGTTGTTTGCCAATTTGAAATTAAGTGCAATGTTATTACCCCTTCCTAGTTTCCTACACAATCCAACTGATCTAAGAAAACCTTGTATGAGAAAATTTATCTAATGTGAAGTTAAAACTCACTTCATAAGTCTATTTTTACTTTTCCTGTTAAACATTATTTTAACTAATATTTTTTAAAGTCAGTTATGGCTTAATGAAACAAGGTGTAACATACAGGTTCAAGAAGAGTTAATATATACAATGTGATGCAATTATTTCCCAGATGACGTAGCTTTAAGTAGCTAGTAAATGATAAATTTAAGGTTTTCAGAACTATTCTCACATCTCCTTTAACCAATTTATAGAAACTGAGAAATATTTTATTTCTGATAATGTCTTTTCTTGAAAGAGGAAACTCTACAATAAATAGTAAATGTTGAGGTTGATTATATCTTTTGATTCTTTTTTTAAAGAAAACCACATTCAGTTTTGTTTTATACTTGTTAGAAGAAAGTTGTTAGTTTTTCACAACTTTTAAATTAAATTAAAAACATTAGGTATTAGAAATGTATTTATATATTTCATAAATCCTACATCAGTTTTAATTGTCTAACTTTTATAAAATTGTGAAAAATACTTGATCTTAATTTTAGGGCTGTAATCATATGGAATTTTTTTATAACAAATGACAAATCTAAAATTAGAAATGCCAATTATAAATCGAAAAAATTTTTTTAAACATTTTTTGGTGATGTTTTCAACATTAAACGTTCAATTATAAAATTAGGATATCAATTATTAAAATAACCACATAATCACATTTAGTTATATCTCAAACAGTTTTTAAAAATCTTTTTTATTGACTTCCTTAGATAAAAAAGCACAAACTAAGTTACTTCAAGAGCTTCTGGAACATTCTAGACATCCTTGTCATCATCATCTCAATTGTATGCGTGGGTTTCAACATTTACCGCACCATAGAGGTAAAACTTGATAAATCAGGGTTTTTAAGTAAATAATTTTATCTCAATATCTATCCACACCATTACTTGAGTACGATTTCTTTGTAAGATTTTATAGAATATTATAGATGATCTTATAAAATGTTTGGTAAAAGTTTTAACAGAAGATCATTTACCAAGTCTATATGTTTGTTAAAATATGGGGGATTATGCAACATCATTTTCGCCATCCATAAAGATTGGTTTCTTTCATCAAATTCTTTACATCTTCATTTATCGTAATCACACAGAACTGAACATAAGTCCCTTTTCCAAGAACAATATAAACTTTATTCCAGACAGGCTGTACAATGAATCAAGCACATACTGTATAGCGCAGCTGGCTATAAGTAGAAGAATATAGCACAACTTTCTTCCCCAATGTTTTAACACCAAATGCCAAATAAATAGCATGAACACCAACAAAAGCATTCATTAATTAAACTAACACTCAAGACACACCACACACAATAAAACACAATATTCGGTGCGCATCAATTACCAGTGAATACCCATACTGACAATCATCATCATCATTCAGATCTAGTACACATCTGGGCATGTGTCCTTCAGCCCCATGACATGCATAAAATTATTCATCCATTTTGACAAGGTGCTTGAATCTCCAGCCTGTCAATTGTAATTTAATTCAATGAAATACATGAGCATCAACAAATGTATGAGGATGCAATGCAGTGTAATTTTCATTGAAAATAGAATATAGCTCTGTAAGAATACAAGAAGATACAAAATACAGGATTCTGCCTATCATTACATCCTCCATGATTCTTGATTTTGAAATGTATTATCAACAATATATTTCATCAATCAAGTTATTTATTATAAATTGTTCAACCTAATTTTAAAATTTATGATAGCGTTGATATTTCATGTTTTGGTTTTCTCATTCAGGTCAATGATAAGCTGACAGCACTGCTTCAGAATTCCAAAGTTTATTCTGACTTTGAAAGGCTGAGCTACTGGGAGACAAGATTCAGTAATGCTATAGCCATTGCTGTCTTTATGGCATGGATCAAGGTAATTATAATGTTCATCAAGTCTGATGCTCATCCATTCTTGTACACATTTGGACATTGCAAAGTTTTTAGCTGTTAGTTTTGATGGTTGATAATTATGCACGTGGCCATTCAAAAGCAAATAATCACTCATTTGCTAATAAATGTTCACTGATTCATTATTCAGATTTTAAGCATGCATATTTTTTGTTTCTCATCTTTACATTTGTTCCTGGAAATCAACTTAAAATCAGTTCATGGAATCAACTTTAAATCAGTTCATGGAATCAACTTTTTAAAGTCAATTCCTGGAAACGAAATTTTAAAATCATTTTGACTTAAATAAATACAGGTGAAAAAACAAAAACTTTCTTGACCACAGTTGGCCATTACTCTGTAAAAAGGTTAATGAATGCTCATGCACGATTTATAGGATGTGACTTTACATTTATCTTGACTTCTGTTTCAGATTTTCAAATACATCAGCTTCAACAAGACAATGACTCAACTCTCCTCCACACTTGGACGTTGTGCTAAGGATTTGGCAGGGTTCTTTGTAATGTTCATCATTATATTCCTGGCATTTACCCAACTGGGCTACTTGCTGTTTGGCACTCAAGTAGAGGACTTCAGCAGCTTTGAAAACGCATTGTAAATTACTTTTTATGTTTTGCAAATCCTTCAAATAAAGCTTATCGATGATAGGCAATTAATAACCTTATGTGTGTAAGGAAAGTTAAGAAAAATGGAAGTCATGCTAAATTTTAAGATTGCTGTTTTGTTAGGATACATGATAACATGACAATTTTAGAGTTTCTAATTAAAAAACGTTTCCATAAAGTATAATTTTTACATTTCAGCTTTACTCTGTTCCGTATCATCCTTGGAGACTTTGACTTCCATCAGTTGGAGCAGGCCAACCGTATTCTTGGTCCGATCTTCTTCATGCTGTTCGTCTTCTTTGTGTTCTTTGTCCTCATCAACATGTTCCTGGCCATTATTAATGACACCTATTCGGAGGTCAAATCTGACATGGCCAATGCCAAAAATGAATTTGAGATTGCCGACTACTTTAAGAGAGTGAGCTTAAATTAATTTCTTTTTAAATTACTGATAAAAACTTGATATGGATCAATTTTTGTTAGGAAAATATGGTTCACATAACTCCATCTTTGTTCATCAAACTAAGGGATTTTTATAAAGCTTGTTAAAATCAGGGGTGGAACATTTACTGCACTTGATTTTGGTTCCATGATATGAATTTCAACCTTATATGCTACAAATAGAGTTTATCATTCCTATTGAAGTGTCATCAAGTTAAGATTGTGTGATGCTTATGAAATATGAAATACCATCATATCGTATCGTCTCTGCTTGTAACATTAGTTTAACATTTTAGATACTACAATGCTGTGCAGCTTTTCATTGCAGAAATATTAGCTTTATTAAAAATTCGAAAATATCTTTCATAGGGTTATGAAAAGATGTTGGACAAACTCAACTTCAAGAGGGATAAGATTGTGGATATTCAGAAGGCCTTGCGTAGCGCTGACATAAATCAGGACAAACAGCTTGACTTTGATGAATGGCGTCAAGATCTCAAATCGTAAGCAATAGCCCATAGTGCCATAAAGCGCACACATTTCTATCAGTTTGAAAAGGGACCACTCATTTTCATAAATGTTAACACCAAGAAATGTGAAGAAAGATTTTGGAGGAAAAAATATTATGTACCTAATAAAACACATTGATAATGAAATACAGCCAATGGATAATCTGTACGATTGTGCCATTTGGGGTACTGACGAATGACTAAAACTGCTAGATGATTATAGTGTATATTTTTTGATGATTATAGTATCTACCCAAAGCTTTCTTTCAAGTTTTGGAAAGTTATATTTTAAAGACTTTACAGAACATCTACCTAAAGTATGTTTAAAGTTATAGTGAGTTTATATTTCATAGACTTGACCATGGTGAGCCTATTACCTTATGAGGATACTATGATGTGGATTGTGGAGTACCTACTTAAATTTGTGTTTTATTTCCACTTCCAGACGTGGCTATGCTGATGGTGAAATTGAAGCTATGTTTTCCAAATATGACATTGATGGTGACAGGGTACTGGATGAGGAAGAACAAAAAAGAATGCAAGCAGACCTGGCTGATCAAAAAGTACATTTTTTTCTCTTAAGTCCTCAAATAATTTCATTTCATTAGGTCATTAACAAGTTAGTGAGACAATATTTTCCAAACTTTTTATTAAGTAAAGCAAAATCGATAACTAACTTCTTATTGGCGAATGTGAATTTATTCTACAAAAAATATTATTCATTTGAATGTTACATTGCTGTTTATATAAATTTTCCAATTCAGGCTGCCCTCAACAAAGAATATGAAGACCTTGGTGGTAAAGCAGATCGCCCAGGAACAGGGCGCCGCTCTAGTAGTCGAGCAAGTTTTAATGAAGGGGACAGTGGAGATGACAGTGATGACGAAGACAGTGGTACCAAATCCTCCCGCACTGGGCGCACATCCAATGGGGTTTCATATGAAGAATTTACTGTATTGTCCAGGAGAGTTGATAGAATGGAGCACTCTATTGGAAGCATAGTTTCTAAAATTGATGCGGTTTTAGTGAAATTGGAAGCTATGGAAAAAGCAAAATTGAAACGCAGAGAGACAATGGGAAAGATTTTAGATAGCATTACAGAGGTGAGATACGTTTATTGCTGATTATTTGTCTTTAGTTTGGTAAAATTAATATAAATAAATATAATGATCAGATTTCCATATAGATGTAGAGTGGCCTAGGGTCGCAGATTTAAGGTTTGGCAAAGATCATCTATATAGCAATGATAGCCCAACACTGACAATTCAAGTGGAACTGGACCAGAACTGATGAACAGCATCACATACCATGACATGGATGATATTTAAAGTTAAAAATTCACGCAAAACGTCCTTTCTACATTGCAATAAATATTTGGATAGACATTTTAAATAGAAAAATTTTAGTCTTTCTATGCAGTTTATAGCTTACACAAAGGCTTAAAAAATATTGCCAAAAAGTTGGGCGTTAGAAGACAATGGTCTATACTTTAGAAATTACAATTCTGATACTGAATTAACTTTGTATATTCTGACAATTATACTATAAGAATAGATTTAAATTGCAGTGACTGTAAACATTTTGATGGTCAAGTCTCATTTTGAATCATGTTGGAATGTATTTTTACTTTTTTAATGTATGAAGAAACTTTTGATCAGTTGGAAAATTATCTGGCTTTTTTTTTTTTCTTATCAACTGCTAATAGTCTGATGGTACAAGTGATGAAATCAAAAGGGAACAGATGGAGAAGTTAGTGAGAGAAGAGTTAGAAAGGTGGGATTCTGAAACTTCGGTAGGTGCCACAAGTGCTCGTGGAGCATCACCTGGAGGTGGAAGTGGTCACAGTGGTCTTCGTCCTAGATCTAGAGCCGAATCTGCATTGAACGGGGTATGTTGCTTCACATTTTTTTGTCTGTAAAGTTTAGAAATAAATGTGTGATGGTTTATAGATAGAAATTCTGCTTCAAATGCTGTCATATGCTTTTGTGCTTTTATATTGTTTCTCTGTCATGAGTATATCATGTTATACTCAAGTACTGTAGTTTTATCTATTTGTAAACATATCAATGACATAATGTTTTATTCATGTTGCATTAAGAATATTAAATTCCTTTTATGTGTATTTCTAAAACCATACATTGCAGTCCTCAGATGTATAGAGGGTAAATTTCTCTAAGCATGTCTTCTACAATATGCTTTATTTTTTCTTACAATAGTGCCTTTTAAGCTTCTAATTCTAATGGAGCCTTATGTTATGACTTAATGACAAGTGCCTTAGACATGGCAGTTGAAAGTATTTTCAAATAATTGAGACCAATTCTATGTAAATCCTTCATTAAGACAGATAGAATTTTACCATCTAATTCTTTTTTTCTTAGACAATTATTATTGGAAGATATCTCTAAAAACCAGATGTTTTTTAAATTACATCTTCAAAAAAGACCCAAAAATAAGTATATAAAAATATTCACAAAAAAGTGACTTCTATTTAATTGAGTTGGCCCATTATACCTTATTTTTTATCACGAATATGATATAAATTTGTTCACAATGTCACTGGTTTTGCTATCATTTGCATGGATTTGTGAAATGTTTTTTCTGCTATATCTTGAGGGCCCATGATCAATGTATTGATCTTTCTGGCTCCTGTGTATGTTGAGGGGGTTCCCAATGTTTCTGTGCATGGCGTATTGTAGAGGATACTTCATTGGTTGCAAAGGCTACTCTGCGAGGGTATCAGGAACTGGGGGTTGGAAGGCAGGAGGCAATAGACGCAAATATGTCTAGTGTTGTTGCTTCAACTGTTCCTTTTGGAAGCTTGTTCCAGACACTGATTGTCCTTGTCAGGAATGAGCAGTTCCTCTACTATGTTCTTGCTGTTATGAGTTGGAACTGCCTATCACATCCTTGTCGCTGTCTAGGGGGGAGAGGGACAAGTTTCTGTTAAATGCTGGAGCAGTGGACTGGCCCATTTTTATCTTGAACATCAGGGAGAGGTTGGCTAATCGTCGCCTTCTTCCTCTGGTGACCATCCCAGTGTTTCCAGCATGCTGCCACCAGTTGAGGTTTTCAGAATGGATCCCAGACTGAAGATGCGTAATCTAATAGCGGCAGGACAAAGGCTAAATTGTTTTTTCTTTCACACTGGAGTTGCCAATCCTTAGATTTCGCCTCAGGAACCCTAGAGCAGGGGTCGGCAACCTGATGTCAAGATGCGGCTCTCCAGTTTCTATCGCAAATATTAATAATTATAAAATATATGGCTCTTTAAAAACCGGGAAATTTTGTAAATTGTAACTTTTGGCTATTCCGTCTCAAAAGGTTGCCGACCCCTGCCCTAGGGTCTTGTTTGCCTGGCTGCACCCATTGTTAATATGCTTGCCCCAGCGGACCTCTCTTTGATTAGTAACACCAAGGTACCTTACCGAGGAAACTGGCTCAAGCATATGGCCATGCAGTTCGTAAGGGTGGCGTAGAGGGGTTCTACTTCTGGAGACTGACAGGGTCTTGCACTTGGCAGGATGAAATTCCATGTCCCAGCTCATCTCCGACTCAGCTAACTGATGGAGATCCTGTCGTACTTGGTCCTGGTTAGAGCTGTTGGCGATCGTCCTGGTACACCGCCGTGTTGTCTGCGTACAGTCTTGCTTGGGAGGTCAACTTCTCTGGCAAATCATTCAACTTCTCTGGTAAATCATTGATGTATCCTAGGAACAAACAGGGGCCTAGCACCAATTCATGGGGGACCCCTGACTTAACACTGACATTCTAATTGTGATTGAGTTTTATTTATTAGAAATAATGTTTAGTATCTAGTGGACTTATCAAGAAAACATAAAATAAATTTCTACATTTACAAATATATTTAATTTTAATAACTTTTCTACATTAAATTTGCTTTAGGAGATTAAAAAAGAAAAAATTATAACAAATTTCTCATGAAAATTTGAATATTTATATATTTTCTTTTTTTAAAGTAAAAAAAAAAATTTACTATACCTTGACTTTTATTCAATTTAAATCGTTAGAAAGAAGTAAGACATTTTCAGTGTGTATTTACCATGCCTAAAAAGAGAGTAAAAATATTTTTAAAATTTCAGTTTTTTTGCTTTTTTAATAAATTGTTAAATTATTATTTTTTTTGTGTAGAAAGTTCCATATTTTTTATTTTATCACCTCCCCCCCCCCCCCCTTTTTTTTTTATTATATACTTTTTATTTTTTTTTTTTTTTTTTTTTTCCCCCTTTTTTTTTTAATAAAAAAGTGTAACTTTTTTTAGTTTGTGCTTTTTAAAAGATTTCTTTTAAAATCTATTTGAATGCTTCAACTTAAAGAATTACATTTTTTATTTTTACAAATATCCTTCTAAAGTAATTGCAAAAAATATTTCATTATAATTATTGTTTATTTTAAATCTCTGAGAAAGGCGTTGCTTGAAAAATTCAAAACCTAGGTTGCATGAGTGTCATATTAAAAAAATATTGGCTAAGTGTTTATGATTAGTTAAGAAAGTTAAATTCTATAATCCAAAATTAATTACTCTTAATTGTTGACAGATTGGATAAATGTAGATCTTTATGTTTTATGTAATCCATTAAGAAGTTTATGCTTAATTGATGAATATTCATGCAATGATTATTTTATTTATCTGTAAAGGCAAAACCCTGTTTGAAGTATAAACAAAAATCTGAGGAAAAAAGTATAGCTTTTCAATATAGTTTTTTATTTTTCAAAGTAAAAGTTAATATACTGACAATTTCTATTTGCATGCTTTGAATTTAAAGTTTTTCTCAATTTTCAAATATACTGACACTTTCTATTTGCATGCTTTGAATTAAAAAAATTTCACAATTTTTATTTGTTGATTTACTTACAAAGTTTTATTTTTTCAAGGACCTTTTTATAATGTAATTATTTTAAAGATTTTAAAAAATAGCTTAATAAGTTCTATGGCAACAAACTTAGCACCTATTATGAGAAATTTGAATGGTTCATTTTAGTAGTTTGATGCTCAATGTGTCCTGTTTTGGGGATATACTTTCATTTTGATAGTGTCTTCTGTGGTGATGATGGTTCTTTTGGGCATTGAAATGTACCTCTTGCAAAGTCCTTGCTGTGACCATGAGTATGCTTTGCTTAGTTTGAATTCATGTAACACTTTAAAAATATTTTTTTTCTTCTCGTCACCAGCTCTGTGCTCATTTAAAAATACCATGTAAATTTCGAACATTAATCCTGCTCTAAACTCTATTGTGTCAATAAGGTCTCTCAAATATGATTGAAAAGATGTAAAATTTGATAAAGATTATTGTGTTTATGATACTTGAAACAATTTTACTATTTTAAAAATGTATAGTTAAGGATATAAATTTCAATAAAGACTTTAAAAAATTTTAAAAATAAAAATTATACAATTTTTGTTTTAAATGACTTGTGCTTAACTGACAAATTCATCTATTAGATTCAATCATTTTAATCATTCAGAGATGATTTTTTTTATTTCAGGATCCAGGGGAACACCATATGACCTCAAGCTTGTAGAAAATGATCCACAAGCAGTATAAAGATCATATCCCAAGACCAAGAATTTTGTACCCACCATTCCAATTCTATGGTGAATCTCATTTGTTAAATTTACCGTAATTAGTTCTTTAGAGGGCTTTCTTTAGTAACCAATTTTACTTTCTTTAGATTTTTGTTAAGATTGAAGTTAAACATATGTGTCAACTTGCGATGAGGGTAAAACCACCCACCAGAAATGAATCTTGAAAAATATGTTAACAAAAAGATATCTCATTTATGTTATAAATAACTCAAAATTTAAGAGAATGCTAAAAATTGTCTCAATTCTTTTTTAACCTGGGCTTTTATGTAAAACCTAAGCTTGTTAGAATACAAATACAAGGTCTCAGAATAGCTATTGAAATGGATATAGTCCTTGACTCAAAATTATTGAAATGAATAGTTATTTATCTTATTTTGAATAAATAAGTGGCAACTGACATGAACTTGAATAAGTCAAGGACATACTCTTATCTAAAAATTAACGAATATGCCAAAAATTATTTTTATTTATTTTCAAAAAATTGTTGGTCAATTAAATCTGTGATAATAACTTTTCGCAAAGGTTTGAAATCTCACTGTTCTTCACATTTTCATTGTCTGGCTTAAAAATTGAAGACTCTTGTGTTACATACTAAATAACAAACCTCACTTAAAATGAGGTGCCAACTGATGACATAGTCATATACTGTTTATTTGTTCAACTATCCGTCCTATCACTATACTGGTAGTTTTGTCATTTATACAAAAAGTTTGTATTATTTATTATTTATGTTGAATTTTACAATATAACCTTAACTCTACTTTATTAAACAAAAATTATTTGTCCGTCCAATGCTCTATCCTATAGCCTGTTATATAATGTTTACACATTTTTAGGCTGTGGGTTGGGCCAAACATTGTTCAATAATTTTTCTTTGTCTTTAAAATGTTTAAAAAAGAGAAATAATAAAGATATGTTTAATCAGAGATAGTTTTGATAGATTTACCCAAACCAAATCCCTTCCTCACTAGTCATATAGATAAGAAAAAAATTAAATTAACACAATTTTAAATGAAGATGAATAATTTATGTTCTTTAATGCACTCAATTGATCAATTTTTTTTCTTTCTATGCTTCAATTATGAGGATTAAACTTTGCAGAGAATATATATATATATATGGTGTCCAGATTTGATATGTTTTCAAATTTCAATCAGTTTTTCTTGATTACTTCACTTAATCTGCAAAAATAAGCACTCTTTTAAAAAAGATTTTATAAACATACTTAAAATCATTAGAGAATCCTGCATGTGATAAACAAGTACAATATATGATCAAATTTTCTCAAACTGCTAAACCATTTACAAATCAGAAATCTTCTATCAAGTATAATATATTGAGGGACTGTGTTCAAACCATGTGTAGTAAATAGTGGAGTAAGATATGTTTAGGCTTGAAAAGAAAATTAAGCAGATGTTTTGACTATAAGCCTTATTCAGCAGACAATATAAAACAAGAGACAACAGATACCCGTACTTGAAATTAAAAATAGGAATAAAAACTTATGTTTTAAAATTTCTTAAAAATGTCTATGTAGCTCAACGTTTATAACAGGAAGAGCTCTATGTTATTCATATCTTGTTCCACTTTTTATTTTATTTGAAGTACTTATTAAAAAAAAAGGGTGACATCTACATTTTTTTCCAACTAAAATGAATTTAAGTAATTTATTTTAACCTTATCTCGCTGTATTTTCTTCTTAAATTTATCAACTGAAACTACTTGTTAACTTTTAAAAAACATTATGATTTCCATCAGCTGAAATCAAAGATAAATTTGGAAATATTTGTATTGAGTGTGTATAAAGAATTCAATGCCTACTAGTCTACATCTTTACTAAAAATCTTGTACATGTAATTATAAAACAACTAACAAAAGTTTATACTTGTCCAAACTATGAACTGTTATTTAGTCATTGATGTTGTTATTTTTGTTTCCAATAAAAGTGTGCTGCATTCTGGTCAAGTGTTTTCCTATTTCATTGTTTAAACCTATGTTTTTAATGATTTTAATAACTAAGGCTGGCAGGTGATCTTGTGTTTATAAGTTGTGGCCTAGAGTTTTTCTTTGTCTTGAAAATGTAAAGTGAAACACAATTCAAAATAGGCAAAGACAGGTTGTAGTAGCCTTTGCTATCTTATTATGTCCACTTTTACTAGGGAGGAGTTGCAAGGAGGTGCAGTTGCAATTTGCTTCAAGGTCTGAGGCCTGCTGGAGGCTGAAGTTGTGAGCTTTTAGACTGTTCTTAACACAGTTGATCCACCGACTGCATGGTTTTCCTCTGGCCCTGAAACCGGTGTGCCCAGTATTATAAGCTTGAAATGCAAGTTGGGTGACTGGCTTTCTGACAAGGTGCCCAAACCAATTAATTTGCTCTATTCATATGGAAATAAATATGCTTATCAAATAACGTATCCGCAGTAGATAAGGGTTTATAAGGCTTTCAAGTAAAACCCTTTTTTCCATCACCAATTTAAAATATCAAAAAGAAATTTGACAAACATTTTATGGTGTGAACTGAAAAAAAGATTCGATCAAATTTCAGTCTATCAATTTTTCGTCGACGAAATTTCTTTCAAACAAATTTCTGATAACTCATGGTTTGATGTTGTCAGGACCACATGCCTCGTAGGGGTTAATAGTTTTAAGGGGTGCCAGCACACCTTGCTCTGAAATTTGGATATCTTCCTTTACGGGGTAGACATTGCAATGCATACAAAGATCGATTTTTTAAAAACTTAGTATAATATTGATAATTACATTTAACATAAAAAATGAATAATACTTTTATGTTATAAATAATACTTTTCTGTTGTTTTATTTTCTTCAAATATGTCAATCCTTATTAATGACATTTTAAGGTACCCTTTTCTGCCATCTAATTTGTAGCAAGGAAGGCAACTACCTCAAGGGGCTAACAATGTTTGAATGATTGATTTGATATTGATATCGCGCTGGTATCCATGCCACTTTAGCAGGCTCACTGCGCTCTGGTATCCATGCCACTCTAGCATGCTCACTGCGCTCTGGTATCCATGCCACTCTAGCACGCTCACTGCGCTCTGGTCCTCCGAAGTCTAGTGAAACAAAAACGTTTAAAAAAAAAAATGTTTCTTAAATGATTTTTTTTATCATTTTCAATTCCCCTAAAAGATTGAGGCAAACTGTTCCATAATTTTGGCGCTATTGCTTCAAAAGAGCGCACTCCGTAAGACATTTGTCTGTGTTCATCCACACTAGGAACTCTTAGTAAGTACTGTATTGAAGACCGCAGGCTCTTCAAGGATACATGCTTATAAATAAGTTCTTTAAGATATTCCGGTGCAGAGCCATCTATGCAGCTGTACGCCAGGGACAGAATTTTGTAGTTAATGCGCTCCCTCACAAGAAACCAATGGAGATCTCGTAGAACTGGGGTGACGTGGTCAGATTTCTTCATCTGCGATACAAAGCGTGCTGCAGTATTTTGTATCTTTTGGAGTCTCTGAATTTGATTCTGAGGTAAACCACATAAACAACTGTTACAGTAATCTAATCTTGACTGGATTAGAGTTACCGCTACAGCATTGGCTGTTCTCCTATTGATTTGAGGACGCAGCTGATCCAGGGCACGCAGTTGACAGATGCATGCCTTGACCACTTGTGAAGCCCCCCCCCCCCCCCACCCAGGGACGTTATTTGGGTAGGGCAGGAAGAGTCATTTGCCCCCAATCTAGAACAGCAGAAAATCAAACGGTACAAAATAAATAAGAAAAAGAACTATTCGATCATTTAAAATTAACAATAGAATACATAAATCATAATCTGGCAATTCTTATTTAAATCGTTATGTACTGTGGCGCCTCCAGTAATAAACAATTTAACAAGCCAGCCAAGTTTCGGGTATCGAACCCCTACCCCACTTGAAAAAAAAGTGAAATTACGTCTCCACGAGTCCCCCTTCCCACTTTTTCCCAAATTACTTCTAGATGGTGTGATTTTTTTTAAATTTTAAAATATTGACTAAGAAAAATAGAGAAGTTGATTATATCGGATTGTCAAAATTTAATTCATCAAAATGAACAAGACTAAACTGTGTACGAAATTTCAGCTCTCTAGTGTTTCGGGATCCTATAGTCTATAGCAGGCCTGCACAACTCAAAATGTAAGGCGGGCCATAATACTGTATGAAACCTTGTGCGGGCCAAAGAAAATAGGACAGGACTTGTGCGGGCCAAAGTAAAGTAGGACAGGGGGGGGGGGAAGCTATTAAGAAAACAATAAGAAGAATATTTCTTTACTTCACGGCAGTGGCGTAGCGAGGGTGTTTGGCGCCCGGGGACAAGATTCGCGCCCGGGGAAAAGATCCATTTTTAGCGCCCCTTTTTCTTTTTTTCAACTCCAAAAACCCATTATTTTCATCAATAAAATAATATCAAAGCACATTTTGGCGCCCCTAACTAGCTGGCGCCCGGGGACATCTGTCCCCCTGCCCCCACCACGCTACGCCTCTGCTTCACGGGCCGTTAAGTGAATGCCGTATGTTGTGCAGGCCTGGTGTATAGTATAGAGTGTATAGAAACAAAAAACCCAAACAAGACTCCACTAAAGTTAAGTTAAATAAAAACCAAAGGCAAAAGTTGAGCTTTTTTTTTTTTTTTTTTTTTAAAAAGGTGTCACATTATGAGCCAGATAGGCCTACTATAAAATTAACTATTTTCAAAAATTTTATATTTTAAAATAATTAGATCTATTTAAAATTATTTTTATTCTTAAAAAAAGTAAAGTAAAGTAAAAATCAGTTTGTTCTGAACGGGAGCGACACAAAAGTAAGAGCTAAATGAAGATGGAGCTAGAGAAGTGAAAAGTTGTTTGAAAATTGAAGTTCATGATGTACTCGCAAATCATGTTAATTATTTTTATTGATAATAATTATTTTTAAATTATATTAATATATTATAATTATATTTATATATTTACCCCCCCCCCCAACACACACACACTTGTGGCTGTTGATTTTTTATTTGCACAAAAATTGAATTTTTTGACGAATAGCCTAATTGAAAATTTAAGTTCATGATGTACTCTCAAATCATTTTAATTATTTTTATTTATAATAATTATTTTTAAATTATATTAATATATTATAATTATATTTATATATTTACCCCCCCCCCCACACACACACACTTGTGGCTGTTGATTTTTTATTTGCACAAAAATTGAATTTTCTGACGAATAGCCTAAACAAGATTTTAATGCAGTAAATAACACCTGATTTCGGCTATTGGTTATGTCAATAGATGTGACCCCATTATTAGAACCACAAGTTTATGCAGATCGTTGCCAAGGGATGCTGTAAAAGGGAAATTAATTAAAAATGCCGGTTTGTAATGTAATATTGATAAAAGTAGATTTACAAAATATAATATTCAGTGTGTTGAAATAATACTTTGTTATGTTTTGGGCAGAAGACGCGTTTATAAGTGGGTGAAAATAAATATTGCAATTAACTATCGTTTTTGTATTACCCTGCTAAATAATAAATATTTTAGAATGCAAATTTATATAATCTGGTATGAGATCTTAAACGGCAACTTTCTCCGCAACCACTTTATTTGAATAGCGATTGCTTTCTATGTTTACAAGTTTGTTTTTTTTCCCCACAAAGTTATTTGATTGTAAATTTTAGTATTGTATTATAACATAGAGTTGTTTTGGAAAACGTTTGGTATTTTATTGTACACTATTACCGCCTTTTATTATGTTATCAAATGGTGTGAAGTGATATTTTGCATGTCCGTGTAACTTAAGTGTAAGAGTAAGTACTTTAAGTAGTGTATGTTTTACCAGACCTGTTTACCCTCAAACTCTTAAAATCCTACAATATCATCACAAAATCATTCAATACATTATCTTAACAGTAAAAAAAATAATTATACAGTATATATAATTATATGCCTCTAAATCGTACATTGTACGCAAAAATCGTAAGAGTAAACAGGTCTGGTTTTAATTTACACGACACATTCTTGCTAACCCACTGTCTGACTCTGACTGTTCAGGTTGGAAAAAGGTAATTGACAAATAAAAAAAATATCAAAAAATCTCAACATTATAACAATCAAGCTCAATCTGATTATGCACTGTGTTACTGTGTTGACTTTGGTTAGCTGATTACTTAATATACCATCAATCGTTTTAAATTGGTGATTAAATAGTTGCACTATCTGAACCTTCAGTGAATTACTTTACAGCTTTACTTACTCACTTAATGATAATGAAATAATGAAAGTTCTATTGAAATTACAAACCCATAAAATTGGTAGTTGCCCCCTTTGTAAACCGTAATTCCCCACCCCCCACCGTTTGTTAAATTAATTAAGAGTCGGTATCCTCTTTTACATTAAATTTTAAACAGACCCAGCAGGAAAAAAAATTCTTTACTTTAAGCTCAAATTGATATACATAATTCATAAATATTTATATTTCTTTGGAGCAACTATGCAAGTGCAACATTAATATCACGTTCAAATTAATTTATTTGCCTTTGAAATTTTTAATAAAGAAAACTATATTTTCAAAAAGTAGAATAGATTAACACTAGAGACTGAGTTGATAATTGTTTTCAAAACCCTAATTGAAAATTTTTTATGCATATTTTTAGTTAAAATAAACAAAGTGGAATAGGAACAATTAAGATCCAATGGCAGCTCCAGAAGATGAAATAAATTTGGACAAGAATTCTGACCAGAATCAAAAGGAGGGTACATTCAAAAAAATCATTGGGGGTAAGAAAATGGTCTTGTAATATTTTTTATCTTGAAATGAAAGGCTTATGAATATAAGTTTGTTATAGTCATTTTAACATTTTTATTTCTATCATTAGTTGCCCTGAAATAGCAAATTTAGATTTATGAATAAGAATGCCATTGTTATCTCTCTCGCTCTCTCTTTCTCACAGCAATATGGAACACAAGATACACTTCTGATGTCAAAGAAGATCAAGAGTTATTGGTGCAAAGAACTTTTCGAGAGTTAATTATTTACTTGTTGTTTCTTATATTTGTTTGCCTAAGTAAGTTAAAGATGCTCAAAGAATTAAATCAATTCACTACTGATGACGTTGATGCGACGTCACGATCACCCACTTTCATTTCCCAAGGATGTCACATTGTCGTCATAACAAAGAGGCAAAGAACTTTTCTGAAATACCAAGGACGTCACGTCGACGTCATGTTTCATTGTTATATATTTCTTTATTTGTTAATCCATAGAGAAGTTAAAAAGTGAATCCGATGGAGGGTGAAAAAATACCGAAAATTTCTTCTTCTTTTTAAAAAATTTTTTATATATATATATATATATATATATATATATATATATATATATATATATATATATATAATTCGCCAGCAAAGGTTAAACAAGACGGGTCAAACANAAAAAAAAAAAAAAAAAAGTTTTTTTTGCCAAGTCAGCAAATATCGATGTCGCGCGAGCGCAGGCCCCCCACTCTTCCCCCTTTTCCCCTAAAAAACCCCAGCGGTAATGAAGGGATTAATTCAGTTTTTTAAGTTTTGTAAAGCCTGGAAAAGACTTATAAAGAAGAATAATAACAAACCAGTTAACTCTTTGCCTTTATAAAAGGTGCATTTGGGAGAAAAGTCAAAAGTTATTGATGATGTGGTTATAATCAGCCATATTTGAAGTATAAATATGTTTTTAATTAAAAAAATTATGGTACTGATATTGACAGCGAGTCCTCTAACATTTTGTTCCACCATAATATCTTAACTAATAAGTTACTGTTTTAACCTTTTAACAGTTGCTTTTGGTATGGCCTCCACCAACATGTACTATTACACTAAAGTCATGATGGATCTGTTTCTTGAAGTAAAAACAAGTGATGGCATCTCATTTAAGACAATTACCAGTGTTGAAGACTTTTGGAAGGTAAGTTTAATAAGGGTATGACTACTCAATTGTATTTCACTTGTTTAGAATGTATTTTAACTCAAAAGCTTTAACTCCAAATTTAAAACTGTTTATCATTAATTGAATATAGAACTAATCAATGAAAAGTTTGTGTAAATCTATAAAGTAAATAAAAATAGTTTGATATTGAATAGAAAATGTAATTGAGATTTTCAGAGTGTGTGAATAGAGAGTTAAAATATGTACTAAGCTAATATAATCTTTATAAAAAATACTTCCACAATAAATTTAAACTATATTAAATGACTAATGGAAGTGTATTCTGGCAGAAACTTGGGTCCATTATGATTTTAAATGTTGATTAAGAAAATATGTGCTATTTTAAATAATATTACTGAAGCTTTCTATTTATATATTTAAAAAGAAACATTACCAAGGGTCCTGAAAATAAAAGTGATAGTTTAAACATTGTGTTGATGTAATTTCTTGAAAAAAATGTAAATAGAAATCTGTTTCAGAATTCCCTTAAAAGTATTTTATCCTGATGACTTCTTGCTTAAGAGAGCATTGTTATTTTGCATTCTCAGAGCATTTAGATCTTCTGCAAGAAATTTCAAATTATGCTTGCATTAAAAGTAATATTTTAAAAGTAATTAAATATAACTTTAGTGCAAATGTTAAATAAAAAGGGAACACATCTTTTAACCTGATATATCAGTTTGCCAAAGGCCCTCTGTTGAACAGTCTGTACTGGGAAAAGTGGTACAACGGAGATCCTCTACCTCAAAGCACGTTTGGCTACATTTATTATGAGAACAAATTGTTGGGTGTTCCTCGACTTCGACAACTGCGTGTGAGCACCAACTCGTGTACCGTCAATGATGAATTTCAAAGCTTCATCACAGACTGTTATGCAATGTACAGCAAAGATGATGAAGACACACAACCTTTTGGTAGACATGCACAAGAGCCTAATGAAACTGCGTATGATTTCTGTTCTGAAAAGCTGATTGAGTTGTATTACTGTCCTCCTGCTGTTTTATTTTTCTGTATTTAATTGAGTTTCTATGACAGTTATCAACTTTTACTCTGCCCATTGAATTCCAAGTCATGAAAATATTTTTGAAATTTTCCATGGCTCTACAGAATTATTCTATTACTGTTTTGAAAATATTTTAAAAGATCACTTAGACCTATATTACATGTAGTAAAACAGCATGATGAATAGGGGCCAGAAAATAATAATATGAAATAATATTATTCAAAAATCATTCTTTACTTCATTTGAAAAAAAGATTTAAAGCTTGTAATTTCTGAGAAAATACCTGTAGCGAATGGAAAATTTCATGCAAACTCTTTGGTGAAACTGTTTCAGTTTTGGGGGAGAAATTTGTTAATTTATTATTATTACATTGCTGACAACTTTCTATTTGCTATTTTTTACTTCTACAACTACAATATTAATTTTTGAGAAATAAGGACTGGTAAGTCGGTATATCTTTTTTCCCCCTTCATTTTATCAACATTTTAAGTATCTTTATTTTATTAGTCAACATTTCCTACATGAGGCTTAAAATAAAGTCTGAAACAAAATTTTGCAAGCTGTGCAGATTGTGTTTTCAAGAAGTTAAAACTCTTATTAAGTGATGCATACAATTTCATAGTCTAAATGAAACAATATATTTAGAATTCTATTCTTACTTCTAGGTGGATTTACAAAACACAAGAAGACCTTGAAGGATTTTTCTACTGGGGGAAAATTCATCTTTATAGTGGTGCGGGGTACATAAAAGATCTGCATGTCACCAAAGATCAATCTTCAATCATCATAAATGATCTGGAAGACAAATTATGGATACAGAGGGGTGCACGAGCTGTTTTTATATCATTTACAGTTTACAATGCAAATATAAACTTGTTCTGTGTAATAACGTAAGTTGGTATAAGTAACATGTGATAACTATCTTGTCATAGAGAACTATTTAAAAGAAACATTTGATTTATTCATTGTCTCATAAAATAAATATTTAAACAATGAATTGTAGGTTTTTTTTTTATTGGGGAAAATTTGCTAATTAGAGAAAAAGAATAAATGTTACAGAATAAATTTAAATATAGGCATACTTATACAACATTAATAAAATTTTTGCTTTTTCTAATCAGTCTTTTAGTAGAATTTCCAGCCACAGGGGGAGCAATCCCGTCATGGACATTTCATACTGTGAAGCTCATACGATATGTGACTCCTTTTGACACTTTTATATTTGGATGTGAGGTCATTTTTATCATTTTTATATGTTACTACATCATAGAGGAGATACTTGAGGTGAGCTCAACTTAGTTTTGATTATTTTCTTCTGTTATCAGATCGTTTCCGAAATCAGCGAAGACATTTTAAATAATAGTTTTAAATTTTGGACTGACTCCATAATAAAGTTAAAAATTTTTTTCAGTTTTAATTGTCCTCAAAGAGATTGTTACTTACCGTTATATGGTTGTGCAAATTTAATCTGTTCTAAGATGTGGCTCATAGGATAAACAATACATAACAAAGGACTGAAAACACGTATACAAAGAAAAACTATACCAAAGCCAGGGATATGAACATTATTCAATTTAATTATACTATTAAATATATTTTAAAAATACAAACTAAAATGTACAGCAATAAAAACTATATTTACTTACAGCACAGTAAGTAAAAAAGTATTATCTTGAAAAGATACAAATATTAATATAAACATGCATACAAAAAGTACAATCTTGTAAGGTTCCTATAAGTATATTAAGTCTTGCAAATGTCTAGGAAATCCAGCAAAAATCTCTTATAGCTGGGGAAAAACTTCCGGCATATTTATGGGGAGGGAGTTGGAACCATCTAGAAATGAAGTTCCAGAAATTACATCACTGCTAGCAGTCTTTAGAACTAATTTGAATATTAACAACCTTCTTCCTATCAAGAGAGGGGTTGGTAATGGTTAAGCGCTACACATTGGTTCGGTGCCTCAATATCAAAGTAAAAGGGGGAGACAAGTGGTGGAAGCAAAATTACGTTAACACACAGGCTATAACAAGTTGTTAAGCTAAGGAAATAAAAATGCTGTATAAGTTGAATTATGAGTTATTTTCAAACCCAAAAATCAAGAGTATTAACCATGCTCTACCACAAACTGAATATAGTTCCACTTTTACTTCACTGTTATCAACGTACTTGCTTGTTAAGGCATATTTGTTGGCCTATTTTTAACCACCACCACTAGTACAAGAAATGGTGTAATAATCCAAGGTATTTAAAAAAAAAATCTCACTCATAAAGTTTCCTACCCCTGACAGATTAGCTTCACAGGCTACCGTTATTTCTTGGACTTTTGGAATGTTCTGGATGTCCTTTTACTTGTTGTGGCTCTTGTCTGCATTATTTTTAATGCCTACCGATCGATGACCATCATGGCTAAATTGCAAACTCTTCTAGAAGATTCTCTCAAATATGCACAATTTGAGAACCTTGGCTTTTGGGAAGTGCGCTTCAATAATTCTGTGGCAGTTACAGTTTTTATAGCTTGGGTTAAGGTGTGTAAAATATAATAATGGTTAGTTTTTATAGCTTGGGTTAAGGCAGAGGTTGCCAAAATCTTGGCATTGCAATATTTTGTGGGCTATGTTTTTTTGTGCCAAGAGATTAAAATATATTAAAGTAAAATATTTAAAGTATTTTGTAAAAATTACTTTCCTCATTACAGCTAATCTGATCGAAAAGAGATGTTAATAATATCAATATTTCAATGACCTAAAGAAAAAACAATTTAGCTTATAATGGTATGACAGACCTTTAAATTGTTTTTGTTAAATATAATTTAAATTCCTTTTTTTTTACTCCTTTGGATAAGTTTGTCAACAACAGACAATGTTAAAATATTTATCTCCAAACATATTAAATGTAATATATTTATCTAAACCCTAAATTCCCTACAGGTGTTTAAGTACATCAGTTTCAACAAGACGATGACCCAGCTATCAACAACCCTGAGTCGATGTGCCAAAGACCTGCTAGGATTTTTTATTATGTTCTTTATAGTCTTCCTGGCCTTCACTCAACTTGGATACCTTCTGTTTGGTACACAGGTTAATGACTTCAGTACATTCATGAATTCTTTGTAAGTCTAACAGACCTGTTTACTCATACAATTTTGGCGTACAATCTACCAGTTTGAGAAGTCTTTTACGATTGTACGCTGAGACCTGTCAGAACTACTATTTTACGAGACCGGGTTACAAAATATGTTCCCTTGGTTTTTAGGATTAAAAAAAATAAATAATATTTTATATAGCCAGCGGTGAATAATAGAGAAAAATGATTGGCTGAAGACTATCCATAATTATATTACATACGCAGGAAGAAAAGAGGTGGTGTTGACTTGAAAGCATACGGGTGTGCATAAGAGGGGTAAGTGGGGTTTAATATTGTAAAGGCATTTTTAATAATTATCATATTGTTGCTTTGTGTTTTCACAATGAACTCCCTAGACAGCAACAGTAATATTAAGCATATTGGCCCTAGTCCTAGTGACAAATTTAATAAACATTGCAATATGACATAATTTTGTAAAATAATTATTTCATTCTTCGGTTGCATTGCGGTGCTTACTAAAATGTAGAAAAATACAGATTTGAAAAAAATGCATTCTCAACTGCACCACACAGTATTATGTTTTGACATATTTTATAAGATATAGTAAGGGCAAGGGGGAATTTGAAATCTATCTTTAGAAGTCACTAAGCAGATGTATAATACCCCAGCCCTCCTCTTTCCTTGTCCCAATACAGCTTGCTATAGTTATTAGACTACAATATGTGAATTGAAAATAGAAATCATCATCCTAGGCTTAAGGGAAGGATGGGCACTTGACGACCCACCACGTTAAATACCTCGACGGGCCGGATATATCACAAATGAACTTATTTCTTCATTCAATTAGCAATTATTATCATTTTTGGAATAAACGATCATTTGAAATCTATGTATGCATCATTTTTTGTGACTGTACGTGTCATTTTGGTTTTTCCTCGCTCCTTTTTAGAATGATTCAAAAACATAGATAAATGATACAACAGTGTTATACTATTGAGTAAATACTAAAAGTAAAAAGGCTTTATATAAATCCAGCTAGGTAAGAGGAAACTCATTTTCCACAAGCATTACTAATGTAAAGTTATATTCAGGTATACACAAAAGTGCATCCCTGCATTTTGAATTTATTAAAAACATTCTGGTAAGGGATTCAGCCCCCTTCCAAACCCCACCCCACTTTTGCTAAAAGTAGCTTCAGCGGAAGTCCTCAATTTCTGCCCCCAACCACATCTTTGTATATCAAAGTGCCAAATGATGGGCAAATTTTAATTTTCAAAAGTGCGCCGAATATGAATATATAAACGTCAGTCATCTGCTTTAAGAAGAAACCTTAATTTGACATGTGATGCACTGTATGTTTATTTATTTACTATTACTATACGGTATTGTATGATTTTGAGATGGTTAATTACTATTCTGAGACTATATTTTACTATCTTGGAAGTTCCAGTGAAACCAGGTCTGCTATAATGTGCTGTACTTTCATTCTCTGACCTGTGAGACTTGGGAAAGTAATCATTACTTTATAACATCTTCCCTTCACAAGGAATCTCAACTGGTCAGCCATGGCATACCTGAGCTTATCATGGGTTACCCAAACATGATGTTTATTTACTTTGTTCAGTAAAAAATGTCCAACTATAGCAGGACCACCAATTAAAGAATTAAATTATAATTGAAATTTAGAA